GGGACTTGCAAATATAGAATCAAGTGAAGATTCAAACTTGATTTTTGGACAAAGAAGAGAAGGTGCAAGTGAAGATTCATCAAGAAACCATTGAAGCGACTCAAGATTTCCAGGTTTATCTTCATCTTCATAATTTATCAAAAATTCGGGATATGCCTTTCACTTAAAAATGATTTCTTGTAATTTCGATATGTTATACTAGTTTTATAAATTTCTAAGTTGAGATGAACAATTGTTATGATAATTTTAGATTTTAATATATATATATTTTTTTACTTTATTTTAGTTTTATTTTGGGTGTTTATTATAGTTTTTATCATTCTTTTCAATTGCTTGATTACCAATTGAATTGTTAGTAGATTTTATTGTTGTCAAGAGAGACAATAGGGTTTAAGCACAATATAATAAATATTATACGGTTCAACATAGGATATAAATATATCTCTATGCTTTATACGGTTTCAATAGGTGTTCTACCACTTGTTAATGCATGTATTTATATGTTTGTATATTTCATTGAGAGATAAGAGGGTCACATGAGGAGAAATAGATTTGATAGCTATTGAGAAAGGCTTTCAATTAAATTAGGAACATTGACCAACACGAATGATTTCAAATTGTTAATTTAATTGTTAAATTAAAAATGGAATAATAAGGGAGATTTGACATTTTAGCAATGCATTTCACATATTTAAAAAACACAGTTACTTGCTTTCACTAGTTTGATTAATAATTTAAGGTTTAGTTAGAAAAATTACAACAACTTGTTTGCTATTCGATTAAAGTTGCAATTGATTTTAACTCAATAAAAAACATAGTCATCGTAGGTTCGACACTATTTCAAGATCTCGTCCACTTGCGTGAAATCAAACGATTAATCATAGCCATTTCTTGCAATGTGTGTTCTTTTTTCTGCGACATTATTTTGTTGAGGAGTTCTAGGAGTCGAGAAATTATGTTCATATCCATTTTCATTACAAAAGATTATCAAAAACGATATTATCAAATTCTCCACCATGATCACCCCTAATAGTTATAATGAAGTATCCTTTCTCGTTTTGAACCTTTTTGAAAAAATATTTGAATATATTCAAAACTTCATCTTTAAGATTTAAGAATATAACCCAAGTGAATCTAGAAAAGTCATCGACGATGATGAAAGCATAATGTTTTTTACCCAAGCTAGCGGTTCTAGGAAAGAATATAGTTTAGATCTAAAAGAGCTTTAAACTTGTTTACCAAATTGATAAGTATCCCAATTTTATCTTTATCAAACTTTAAATTTGACAAACCTTTGACAAAACAATATTTAAATATTTGTGAGAGAAGATCCATCCCAACATGACCTAATGTCCTAAGCCACAACCAAGTATCCTCCTTTAAACTTGATAAATATTTTTCATGACTTTCAAATTTGATATTTATGATATAAACATCTTTGCTTTGACTTCTTATAAATTGACAAATAACAGTATTTAAATGGCCAAAAATTGCCCTAGGTGAAATTGTAGAAGAAGTCCTGGAATTTACGAGAAACAAGCAAAATCGGCTAGCCAGAAGGTGGCACCGTGCACGTCGTGAGACCATTTTGGTCTAGGTAAATCAAATAGCATTCCCCCACCCGCCTTCTAAATGTGAGTTTAATTTAATTCAAGAAGCATATTGTCGTAAAGAGTTTCTGGTATATTTTAGTATACTCGTTAATTTTCAACCTTTAATTGAGTTTTTTTCCCCCACAGATTTAGGGGAAGAAGTAAATAAAAAAAAAAGTATGAAAGTACAGAGACTCCAGTTTGTGGTCGGCCTCGACAGCTCCGGTGGACGGTTGGCTAGGGAAAGATTTGGGGTTAAAAGGATTTGGAAATTTCAAATTTGGTTTTCAATATGAGACAATTTCTCAAATTGACGGTGGGCTGAAGAAAATAAAGGATGAAAGATAGGTGGCTCACGTTGGGTTGGTCTTATTTTGGGCTTCAAAAAAATAAAATAAAATTGCAATTGGTTCAATAAATGAAAACCGAAATTGGTTTTGCAATTTGAGCCGGGCTAGCCAACCACATTGGTTACTTCTGGGTTATAGACTACATTTAAGACATTTATTCACGTAAGAATTTTATATTTAAGAGATTAAGTATGATAAATTTCAAAATTAAAAAATAAATTTTAAAATTTCAAAAATCATATATTAATTAAATTTTATTTATGAAATAATTAATTAAAAATACATTTTATTAATAAAATATACTAAGTTCATAATTTTATTCAATTTGATAACAAATTATCGAATTTATCATTCGCAAATTATTTCCGAGTCTCAAATTAAAAATTTTATAGATCACAAATAATTTCACAATCACAAATTAAAAATTTTATAGGTCATAATTTATTAGTGTTCTAAACAACGTAAAGTGTAGCTAGGCGTGGAGTCAAAGTTTCAAACTTTACAAGTTTAAACAAGTCTAGACGAGGTTTAGGGGTAAAAAAGTGTTTTTTTATTTTTAATATTATTTTGATTTTTTAGTCATTTTCAGTATTTAATAATTAAAATAATAATATATATCAAATATCTAAATTTATAAAATTCTATATTTAATTAATAAATCATACAATTAGTCAATCATACAATTTTTAAGTTTTCGAAATGCCAAAGTCAGGTTAATTTTTATATTTTCAATTTTCATTTAGACAAATCTTTTTTAACAAATTTATAGGAACTTCATACATGCTTTCGAAGTTTTCAATAAAATAACGACTCTCAAAATCTTAATTACACAACGTAGATAGTATCGTAGCATAAATAATCTTATTTAACTATTTAGATAAAGTCATTTTTTATTTTTGTTCCGATAATATCTTTTAAAAACTTGGAAATAACTCAAAAGAATTAAAAAAAAATGAACGAAGTACAATAAAAGACTCAGAAAAAGGGAAAAACGAATTTGATAAATTGAAGTACGATAAAATATACTTTCCGATTTTAGATAACATAAGGATTTGATGTCATAACTATATGTAACCAAAACATTTAGGATCGTAATTTTGAATCGAATCTATGAAAGAATCTTCTCGATTGCATTTGATACGATCTATTAATATTAAAATTTAGATAAATGTTAAAATGATTAATAAACAATAAAATGAAAATGATTATTAATTATTTAAAATATTCTTTACGAATTAAATACATATATATATTTATAATTGGTTTAATAAATTCTAAATTTAAAAGCAAAATTTGATCGACCAATTTTTATTCTCATTTGATTTTCCCTCCCTTTCGAATTTTCCCTTCCCACCAACTTTTCCATTCTCTCTAAAGAATCCAATTCCCAATTATTTTCACAGCCACAACCCACAACCACCCAACCCTGTTGCAAAAGAGTCGAGATCATTTGCCCAATTTTTTGTTTACCAATTTGTCGTATATTCAATTAATTATTGACACATCATTTTAAATTAATATGTTCAATATTTTTCTAACTATACCTTATACCTAAAAATAGGTGATATTTTAATGTAAAATAATTAGTGGTTAGCAAATTGGACAGCAAAAATTGGAAAACAAATCTAACTCGTTGCGAAAACCTCTATTTTCGTTATTCTCCATAGCCTCCATTTTGAATTTTTGGAACTCCACGTTATGATTGGATAAAACTCTCGAACTAAATCGGACCGAACCAAATCCGACTCAAATAGGATTGAACTTAGCGTTCTTCTTAAATTAAGTACTCGAACATGTATCTGAATCGAGAAACTCTAGAACAAGAACCAAATAACCAAATAAAGAACGAATCTTTCTAATTTTGTAATTTATTTATATTAAATAAGCCAAATTATTTTATTTTTATCTAAATAAATTTGTTAACAAATTAAGTTAACCCAAACCCTAAATATGATGTTCATATTTCTAATTTCCACCCCCAACCTAGTTTAATCAAATTGACATAAGTTTTACCAATATCTATCATTTTACCGTAGTGCCATTTCCATATTTCTGGAGCAAACAAATTGGAAGCTCGACTATGCCTCTCTTTATCATTTTGAGCTCGTTACATTTCTCTTCCCTTGATTCTAACAATCAAATCTATGAAGCACTCAACAAAGAAAGGTGAAAAAAATATATAAGATTAAACTATGTTATTTTATAAGAATTAAGATAAAAAATATCATTAGTTGAATTAATGTAGTTGTATTTTAGATATTCAAAAATTTAACTACTGTATAGAGCCCTGGACTAAATGAAATCTAACCGAATTGAATCAAATAAAATAAAACCCGAACGATTGTATAATTAAATTTGGACCCTGCGGTTCCACTTATTAAAACCCCAAAAATTCGATCGAATCCAAATTGGACCATGTCCATCGATACTCCACGTATCAACAAATACTGAAATTTATACACAAAAATCCAACCACCCATATGGAATCCATCGCTTCCATGTACTTCTCTTCTTCTATTCCAATTTTCTCCCTAAATGCAAAGATTCTTTTATACATGGCCTCATCTGCTTCTCCGTCTCTCCTTAGTTCCCCAATTTTGCCGTTTTGATTTCACCCCTATTTTTATTATTTTAGTTGCTAATACTTTTTTAACATTTTCCTTTTCAAATAATGTGAGTGGACCCTATTTCAAACCGAACTCCACAGAGTCCAGCCTCGTTACCATCCTCAGCAATCTTACTCTCTCGGGTATTTGGAAGTTAATTTACCAACGATTTGTATATTTTTAGAGATCGTTAGGTTATTTTTTTGTTTGGTATTTAGAATTTAACTAGTGAGTTGTAAATTTTTTTTGAAGATACAAGGATGATTTCGACTGGACATTTATAATTTAATTAGTAATTTGTATGAATTTTGAAGATACAATGGTCATTATGTATATGATATCAATAATACAATTGGTTTCACTCATACTTTAGGTACTATTTAAACTTGATATTTTGCTTATTCTCATGAGTTTTAGAGCGTTTTAATGTGTTTTTTGATGTTGTGGTATAGGTTGATGAGATTGAAGGAAATAAGCAAAAAAGTTGACAAAATTGGATAAAATGGCTAAGTTGTAAGAGATCAAAATTTCGGGGACCAATACTTAAAACACTCAAAAGTTTTGTTGAACTTCATGATGAAGATTTGAGAATGCTATTGGTCAATTGGATACAATTAAAAGTCAAAAGGAATGAAATATAAACAAGAAATGGACATGGCGTTGATTTCTAACCGCTTAAGTACGCTATGAATTTTCAGTTCAAGAGTAAAACTCATTTTTTACCGGGTAAACATTCGAATTGGAAAATAGCTATTTGAAGCAAAGTTATAGCCTTTTGAAATAGTTTTACAACCTAACTTGAATTGCCTCAATCAAATATCAGGCGGAAAATTTATGATAAAAATACTAAAGGAAACGTTGTGCTGATTTCCTACCTGAGAGGTGGCACAGAGACGAGGCACCGCAACACCGCTACATGGCATCGAGGTGCCGCTTGGGTGCATCTGGGTACATTTTTGGCCCTTTTTGAAGCCATAGAAACCATACTTTCTACACACGAAAGAAGCACCTATAAATACAATTTTTTCACACTTTGAGATGGGGATTCTACACATTGAGAGGCAAGAACACAAATTTGAGAATTAGAGAGCAAATTTAAAACGAGAAAAACAATCATTCAAGGGTTTGAAATCAAGATTTGGAACGAGAAGAAGAACTTGGTGCAAGATCATCCACTCCTCTACATCTAAATTCAAAACCCGGCGATAGACCTCACTATTGTTATTTGTTTTTCTTCCTCTATTATGAATGGTTAAAATTCTTGTTAGCACAATAATGTGTCCTTATTGGGATCCTTTATGTTTTTAATTAGGATTCTTGTTTTTTTTTTCTCTGTATTGATTTTACTATGGATTTAATGTATTAAATTACTTGATCACCAATTTGATGATTTTGTGAATTCTTTACAAATAGAAATATGAATTTAAAATTTAGATGATATAGTAAAATTCGGTAAATAGGTATAATGAGTAAAGATACTTATCCGTAAAATTATTTGTTGATTTTAGCGAATAATTCAATTGCAGTGGTATTCAAAAAGTTTCTAGGCTGAGATGTTTTTATGAAATGGTAAAATTAATGTATAGATAATATGAAGTGTTATATATTAATCTCAAAGACAATTTTGGTATCTATATAATTTATCTAAAAAGGTTGATAAAAATTGAAGTTCAGGACATCGATTAATTTTTATCAAAATTTATTTTAAATCTATTATTAAGATATAACACTAATTAGTAAATAATGAAGATTCGAATCATCGAGTCTCAAAATTTAAAAACCATATTTGACATATCAGTATTTAGAACTCATTAGATAAATTTAGACCCGTCTTAGAGTTCTAAATATTTTTCTCCTATCATTACTTAAATCCTAATTACACAGGCAAAAAAAAAAAAAAAAAGTAGAGTGGATTAATTAAAATTGTTCATTTATTATTGTTGTTTGGGCTGTCAAATTCTGCTAATTTCATTTAATTGATTTAAAGTACAGTATTAAAAAAAAAATTCGAATCACAAATAATTATCACCGAAATGTGAATTATTTAATGACTGATTTTTATTTTTATTTTAATTATTATTTTTTAAACCTTGGCAACCTGGGTACGAGTAAAAACAGAACTTTCCTCTTCCTTTCCTTCTTTCAGTTCTGGTATTAAAAACAGAACTTCTTTCCCTCCGAAATCCTCTCGTTCTTCCTATTCCACGACAGACAATTATTCCATACGAACAACCAATCAGGATATCATATTCTATACACGATATGTAATTCTATGTGTACGTATAAACAGAGATTGTGCATGGAAAGTGTAATGACCTAACTGCATCAGAATAGTAATCCTCTTCTAACTCTATCCATCTATCTCTCTCCATATATAATACTCCTAATCAATACAATATCTCTGCGTTTAGTTCTACTGTTACTTCCAGAAACAATTGATAAAGGCAAACACGTTGTCATGGCCGCACAAGAAGGTTCTATTTTTCATGTTGAAGAAAATATTCCGCCCGGTTACCGATTCAAGCCGACCGACAAGGAACTATTACACTACTTGAACCTCAGGATTCTGAATAAACATATATCGATTGATGCCATAAAAGATGTTGATCTCTACAAGTACCATCCCAATGATCTTTCCCGTAAGTTTCTTTATTTCTCGTTGTTTCTTGATGGTTCTTTTAATATTATCTTCTTCAGTTATCATTTATATTTACGTTCTTTGGAATTTATTAATGTGATTGTCAGAAAGGGGGACGAATGGAACACATGAGGGCTACTTTTTTACTTCTAGAACTAGGAAGTATCATAAAGGTGGTCGGCCGGACCGAACAGCAGCTGATGGTTACTGGAAAGCCACTGGTGGTGACATCATTGTCCGAAGCAATGGCCAAGAAGTTGGCCGGAAAAAGGTTCTCGTCTATTATGAAAGGAAATCTGATAATAGCAATAAAGGAACAAAGACTAACTGGATAATGCATGAATTTACAATTCATCAAATGAAGGACGTCGCATGTTCTTCTACAAATGCAATTCCAGATGACAAGACGGTATGTTAAAGTTTTCATCTTCTTTGGTTAATTAATTGCGTTCATTTATTATTGTTGCTTGGATAATTGCATGAAATCCCATATATGGTTCTTTAATTGATAATTGATAGTACGTAAAACCCTTAAATTTCTTTTTTCTTTTTTTTTTTTTTTTTTATAACTTTTCATTAATCGATCAGTTCATATATATTGGTGTTGTTAGGACTGAATTGAAATTTTAACAAATAATTCTAGATGGTATTTAAAATTAAAAAAAAAAAAAAAAAACTCAAACCCATCAAGCAATTCATAAATTTTGATATTTTTGTAACACGAATTTGTTTCATATTTTTGCAGTTGGACAAGTGCATATGTAGAATTTACTATAGAACATCAAAATCGAGCAAAAACATAGAGCAAGACACGCGAAGAAATATGATCCCAATTCAAGAAACTCACATCCCTGGCGCAAATTTGGCAGTAACATCGTCTTATCGTTATCGTAATCATGTACCGGCACTTGATCAGTTGTCCTTGCATGGTTCTTATCTTCCCAACCAACAAGGAAGCATTTATGACCAATATCAGTTGGTTCATGAACCTGTTACGTACATGCATGGCGAAGTTGCAATTCAGAGTAATATTCTTCCATCTGCTCAACCTCTTGCGAACATTCCTGGTGATCAATGCAATGTTACTCAACCTGAGACTGATATGCAAAGCAATGATCTGTATCGTCACAGTGATTATGGTGATGACTTGGATTTCACGACTCCATATTTTTCGTCTCTATTTGGTTTTCTACAGCCATTGGATGATAATATAACGGATTCTCTTTTCGCCGATTCATCCAATGCCCAATTAGAGTTTTCGCCAATTCCACCTGGTCAATCAATTACACAAACACATGGCGTTGTGGGTGGCTCGGGTACAAGTAATTTTGCAGCTTCCACTGAGGACTTTTATTTACCTTCTCCTCCAATAGAATGGTGTGAGTAAATTTGGTTGCGCAGGTGCGAGATCTACATTTGAGGACAAAATGTTAAAATCTTCGATCAAGAGAAGAATGCCATTTTTTGCAATTTTTCTAAGAATTTAAACTGTTGATTATGTAATGTTGCAGAAGTCTTGAATATCTGCATCAAATTGTTCAATTGGTGGATGGTGTATGAGCACCAATCTATCGATTAATTTTTCTTGTTACTTGAGATGGAAAATTGTTCCTTGCATGCAAACATTAGAGTGAGTAATTTAGCATTTTTCAATATTTATTTTGAAAGAGTGGATATTTGTGTAATTTTTAGTTTATTCATCCAGTAGAAGAATGATTGTTTATTGTGGTTTCGAGGTTAGACCTGTTTGGGGTCGTTCCAAACTGATGGGGTGATTTTTAGTTGTGATCACTAATCCTTCAACAAAATTTTAATGAATTTATTAGAATTTATTTATTACAATCAATATAGTTTTATTATGTCACCGATCTTCAATTTTAATTTTCGCTCTCTTTGTTGCATTCGAGATTGATTAAAATTTTTATATAATCCATGAGCGACACGTAATCTAAAGACATTATCATAATCTTGATGTTAAATGATCATATTGTTATAAATATGATAACATTCATAAAATTTGAAAATAAATTGATATTCATTCATTAACTTGAGACAATTTTTTCTATTTTTTTTATTATTTTATTATTTTTATTTTTTGACGAAACTGAATTTTTTGCTAAATGTTCACCGATGGGGTGAAATTTACCGTTGACAATGCGAAATCCAGCCAATGTTATTTTCTATTTTTTTTCATTTCTTTGATAGATACCAGGTTGAAAATATTACAGGAAATCCTACTGGAGGATGATTAGGTCACTGAGTTTTGGGTGAAAGGTCAATTTAGTCACTTAACTTAGATATGTTTCAATCAAAATATTAAACTTCAATTTACGTTTAATGTTAACCACTCTATTAGTTCAGTTACCAAACTTAACGGTCCAATCCAATGAGGGAAATACTGACAACATCCAAGTAAATAATATATCCACGTAATATTCATAAATAACAAAAAAGTCGTATAATATACATTACCTATTACAATTATTCCCAATCAACATTTAGCAAGAAAATCATCATCCATTTATCGATCTTGTGATGAAAAATAGCAAGGTTTTTCCTTTATTGGCAAAAAGTCGATTTTGTTTCATTTTAAAATCTAAATGCATGAAAACTTCAAACACTTCAGCATTCTATAGTCCAGAAATAATCAATTAGCAACAATTTAACAACTTATGGAACAATTAACAATTTTGGTTTATAAATGAGTTGGAATTTACGATGTCACTTAACTGTTGTTTCTTTAATATCTCAATAAATCGAAAATGCAAACTACCAAGTTGCAATGTTAGACCCCCCCCCCCTTTCCAAGTTTATTGAATTACTTCGAGCGAATTTAACCTCAATCGTTGG